CAAAATACCAATTTATAAACTATCAAGGGCTCATGAGGGAGGGGGGAGCGGGAAGGGAGGGGAAAAATGAGGACCTACCACATAAACTGCCCTCCCCTCAACTTATAGTTAAGTGATTCTTTAGGTAGCAGTCTCCTGGCTGATGTATCAGGATACCAGGTACTAATTCCAATATCTATTCTATTCAATTGTCATACAGATCACAAGTAAAACAGAACTTTAAAATGTTAACTTATGAATTGCTTAGGACTGCAAATGGATTTTCCCCACTTAAAAATCACTATAAAAGATTGTTACAAAGTCTTAAGCCAATCTAAATTCATTGCTATTGAGTTGATTCCAATTCATAGTGACGCTACACGGCAGAGTAGAACTGCCACATAGGATTTCCAAGACTATAAACCTTTAAGGGAGCACACTGCCATGGAGTGTGTTGGTGGGGTGTTCAATCCACTGACACCCGGTAAGCAGTTGAGCACTTACCTACCATACCACCAGGGCTCATTATACATAGTCCTACTCAATAATGAACATCAACAGGAATGTAATATCCTGTATATACTGTATGCATAAATCATGCAAGTGAAATGAACTTCTGAAGAGATCACTTGATAAACTAAAAATACAAGTAAAATAATATATTCAATGCATTTTAAAATATCAAAGTTTAAAAATGACCCAATTATTGAATACAAGATTCAAACAACACTAATAATGGCAGTACAAACCAAAACTCACCAAACACGCTGCCATCGAGCCAACAATTCTTATTTACAGCGACCCTACAGGACAGGGCAGAACTGCCCCCTATGGATTTCTGAGACTGTAAAATTTTACAGGAGTGGAACACGTTCTACTCTTTCTCCTGTGGAGCAGCTGGTTGTTTTGAACTAATAACCTTCTGGTTAAAGCCCAACGCGTAATCAACACGTCATCGAGGCTCCTGCAGTAATAAGAGTATCTACCATTTACTAAGGGTTTACATTGTGCTACAACTTTACATAGAACACACACCGTTTAATTTTGGAAATCGGTGGTGTGGGGAACACTAGCTTCATTCTACAATGACATTAAGAAAGGCTGAATGACAAGCCAGGCGACAATAGGAGGGACCCAATCTTGCATCGGAATGACTTACGTGACTCAAAAAATCAGCTGTGGAAAAAGTACCAGGGCTTCTATGGAGATACACTGCCCAAACATGGTCAGCCAACTAACATTTCTAACTCTTTGTTTCCTTTTCTGTAAAGATGGGGATAATATCATTTACTTAGCAAAAGTGTGTGAGCATGCAGTTAAACCCATGCAAGCACTCAGCTCGAAGGCACTCAATGCCTTCTCAAGTCCTCTGTGTCTACAAACGGTCCCCTTTTGACTAAATCTTACACTGACGCTATGTGATGCAATAATCCACAAAAAGTATCTGCGCAGAATGATTGCAGTGTGCCTCAAACAAGAGGTGCTCCAAAAGAGAACAACGTGCTCAAATTACTTTGGATTCGATCACTCTTTTGGAAGACAGCTTACATATTAAAGTGAATGTGCCTAATCAACGTGTCCATTTATGACCAGTTTGAAGTAAAAGCATACATACAGTAACTTCCCATTCGCCTTCCAGAAGGGCCTATGCTCTGACTCAGCCATTCCCTCTCACCATTGGAGGGAAAGGAGACTAAATAAATGACACCAGGAGGCTAATCCAGCCAAGAAGTAACTGCATTTTAAAAAGGATGCCTGGGGAGATGGATATGAAAGATTCCTCCATGATGAGAATGCAGCCAGCAAAGGATTATAATTCTCATTGTGAAGAGACTTTTAAAAAAGAAAGAAAGAAAAAGTATCGAGCCTCAATCTATTTGTGAGTCCCTGCCAATCTCGCTGGGCTGCTGTGCTACGATTTATTTGGTACAATGCCGACTTTTGCCTTTGCCTGTATTTCAAGTGTGTTTCAGACCAGGTCATCAGAAGCAGCCTCATTAGTGGGTCATACGAATGCATGCTTGCACATTCTCTCCCCTCCAGGAACAAGAGGAGGAAGATGAGAAATGTTATGTAGCCCAGAGAGTTTCACAATTAGCAGCTTTGCTGCATTGTAGCCCAGCCCAGGTTCTAAGAAAGGCAATCTATATTACTTTACGTAACAAAGAGCAGGTACTTATACAGCACATTGCTAAGCTAGTGTACGGGTATTCTGTGGGTGACTCACCCCAAAAGGCGAGAATGAAATAAATTTAGACATTAATGAGTGAGCAGGAATCAAAATATAGCCACAATCCAGTCTCTTCGGAAAAAGCCTCTTTCAAAGAGTTTGGCACTGGAAGCCTCTATCTTATTTATATCCTGCTAAATTAAACAGAAGGGTTCTGACCCTACCTAATGCTCCCAGGAGTTTATGGGGTGCTATTAATGACTGTGGGGAAAAGACAAGGCTTTCTGCTCAAGTAGAGAGTTACAGTCTCGAAAACCCACAGGGTCAGGCGGTTGCTATGAGTTGGCATCGACTTAAAGGCAGTGGGTGATTCATGATTGGGACTTATCTGTGATCTATGAGCAGCCTAAGGTGGCTTACTAGTGAGTTCTAATTAGTGATTCTTGAATTACTTTCTCAAAGTGTTGGAAGAGGCTCCTAATCACTTTCCATCAAAGGTTAGATTCCTGGCTCCTGCAGCAGCACACGGATAGTAGAACATTCCGATGGCAGCCTGTCTACTTTAAGAATGAAAATGCAGGGCAATGAATGTACAACTGTGCTTTACACAATTGATGTAAATATGGATTGTGATAAGTTTTATGAGCCCCTAATAACATGATTAAAAAACAAACAAAAATAAAGATTCTAGGCTTAAGCAAGTGGAGAAAAAAAAAAGAAAGAAAGAAAGAAAGTGCAGGCTGGATGCACGCATGAGTTCTCTTCTGGAAGCAAGGCTCCTTCACAAACCAAATGAAGGCAGGGATATGGCCACAACATGACAGTAACCGGGCAGTGGTCCTAAAGGAGGGCAGAGATTCAGCGCCTGAGCTCTGCATCTTGGTTTGATATCAAGTGTCTTCCAGTGTAGAACTCTTTCCACATTCCTCACATTGATGAGACATGTGTGAAAAATGACCAGCACACTGCTCAATGTTAAGGCAGCGCAACATATTGGTTAATAACGCACATCTTAAAAGGGGAAAGCCTGACTGGGAGCACTAAAAGCTCCGCTACAGCTATAAAAACGACCAGAGCAAAAGACTTTAAAGCCACTAATCTTTCAACAGTTCACACGAAAAGGGACTTAATTAGTAATGTCTAGTGTAGTGTGGTGGTGCAATGGTTCAGTGCTCGGCTGTTAACCAAGAAGTCAGCAGT